GGTAAACATGAGGGGCAAATGAGGATTTTTAGAATTTTAGTGTGAAAATCCCTAGGTTTTACCAGAGATTAGTGTGTTTCATTATAGAAGCACTACCCCAGACTGGTGATGGTTCATTATATATACAGTATAGGAACCCTGTTACTTCTTTTTAAAAATCTTGTTACCTGCTTAAAATTTTTGAAAATATTGAACTCTCAAACACATATAGTCCCCCAATGGTTTCAAACTAAGGATTGTGGACCTGTATTACATTCAGTGTGTAATCAAATACAATAAATACAAATCTGGAAGAGACTTAAATAAGTAAGACTCATGCAGCCTAAATCCACCTTTACTATTATTTCGACACCTTAGCTCCTTGACTTCAAAGTTATCACTTCAAACAGATGGTACTGGACTAAGCTGAAGTTCTTTCTAGTTGTTCTTTTAAAAAATGCTTTTAATGAAAACTTATCTCTGAAAGTTAAAGACTGAGTTGGAAAAAAACATAGATCGCTATTTAAAACATTTTGGCCATATATTTCCCCTCAACTATTTTCTATATAAATCTTAACCACTGGTGCATACAGAATGCACTCACCATTAGAGATGACTAAATAAAGAGCATTTGCCCATCTTCATGCCAAACACTAGGAAGGAAAAGAGTGGTACCATAGAATGAATGCCAGCATTGTACTCAGAAAATCTCAGTTCAAATACTGGCTCTGTTTGATAGTTCTGTGACACTGAGTAACATACTACTGAAACTTATTTTGTCATCTGTTATTTGGAATTTTTAAAAATGTTCTATTACAGGGTGATAAGGATGACAGAAGATAAAGTGAAATCCTCGAGTGGAGTACCTGATTCTGTATTTATACTTAGCAAATGTTTATTTACATTTAGAGAAATGTAATTTCTCTAAAATCAAACTTAAAACACTTTTTTTTCTGGCTGTGCCACACAAACAGCTTGCACGAGGATCTTAAGTTCCCCAAACAGGGATCAAACCTGGGCCATCGCAGTTAAAGCACCAAAAGTCCTAAGCACTAGACCGCCAGGGAATTCCCAACGTTGTCTTGTTATAGTTTTCACATTACACATATATATGTTGGCAAATGTTGAGTATTTAAGTGTTGTTACAAAATTAACTCCTCCATTATTCAGGCTTTGCAAGTTATGTGAGATATTTTGGAAGGTAAAGTCTACCAAGAGTTTGTCTTTTTAGAGGAAAGTGACATGTAAGTAACAATGTACAGATTCAAGGTTAATAAAAATCACACTTCTTTCACATGCACATGCGCACACACACACACACCCCCTGGACATAAAGAATAAGATGAGATACAAGGAACCAGGCTCATCTAAAACCACATTTATTAGTATATGACACTTGGTGTCTACTTGTGGGCTTTCCAGGTGACACTAGTGGTAAAGAACTGGCTCGACAATGCAGGAGGAGACGTTAGAGATGCGGGTTTGATCCCTGGGTAGGGAAGATCCCCTGGAGAAGGGAATGGCTGCCCACTCCTGTATTCGTGCCTGGAGAATCCTTTGGACAGAGGAGCTTGGCTGGCTATAGTTGCAGTTGACTTAGCATTGTGTATACTTGGTATCAAAATCCAAACTATCTAAAATTTTCAGGTTTCTAAGTTTAACAGGCCCTTTTTTCCTGTTTTCCCTTTAACAGGCCCTTTTGAAACTAATTTCCCGGTAAGAGTGAGTGTCTTTAAAAAAAAATAATAATAAGAAGAAATCCAGACACATTCCAAACAAAATTCTCTTTGAAAATAAAGCAACTTAAAATCTTGGGAAAGCTGTTAATTCTCAACAAAACTAAACAAGACCAAAAGTATTTTTATCAATCTGTAAGAGCCTAAACTTTCAATGTTAAAGGTTCTTTGCAATCTCAAGTACTAAACAAAAAGGGCAGGATATCAAGTACTTACAAGATGGAGAGAGAAGAAATAGATTGATCTGAGTGACTTGGGAGTATTTTCAGTAAGAGAGGATCTCTGGAGAATACACCAAGCTGAATTTCAAAAACCCACTTTCTAGTCTGGGCAAGTCAGTAAATCTCTGAGCTTTCTTTTTCATCTTTTACAAGTAGTAGCATTTTTAGTCCCTACCCCAAAGGATAAGAGTCATAAAAACAAAAGTTGAAAGTGTCATACAGTCAAGTAACATCAATACTTATCTGGTAGAAGGTAGAGCATTTATGTGGGAAGGGGGAGGATGAGGGTAAGCAGGGCTGGAAATTAAGAAATCTAGGTTCTAGGCCCAATATTGGCATGTATTAGCGGGTTACGCAAGGCACTTCACTTGTCCAGGTCCCCACATAAAGTCACTTGCAAGATGAATTTGCCTAAATTTCTCTCTGGCTCTAAGACTGTAATTTTATGCTATAAATTTGAACCCAAGGCCTAAAATATTTGAGCTCTCATTTATATGTGAGTCATATACTATAAAAGGTGAAGAGAGAGCAATAAAGCCTGAACAAAACTACTTAGATATGTGTTGCGCACACATCTATGGAAAACCCTGCCATAGCTGATCAATTCCACTCATTTGTAAACTGGTGTCAAGCAACCATTAGTACATTTCTAAATCTTCTTTAAATGCTTAGGTTAACATTAATATAGGCATAGCAAAAACATAAACTAGAAAACCCTCAAAATTATATACAGGCCTAAGGACAGAAACATACCCCAAAAGAAGCTGCATAGACACTTATCTAACACGTGCTTTTTTTGTTTTTGGTTTGTTTTTAAACGAGGTTGATGATTCTGATACTGGGTCAACATCTGTAATTTTTGGTTACATTCCTTCAAGTACACAGATTCAATTACACCTTGAAATAAAAGCACTTCCCTAAGACAGAACTTTTTTTATTGCAAATTTAACAAACCACCAAACTCAAGTTTAATTATTTCTGCTTTATTATTGATCAAGAGTATGTAAAAGACTTAAAAAACAGTTACAAAGAGACTTCATCACTAAATATATAATCAGAAACCAAGTTGCTTGAAATTAATAATTTGAAAGAGACTCAAAGTCTACAATACATTTAACTTCATTCTTCAACTAGGGGCAAATAAACACTTAAAAAAATTACTTTTAACATACTAAGAAAAAAGTTGTGCACAAATCCCAATGCCTACAAAAAAACGCATTAGAACGTGCTTAATGTATTTATTCCCACCTGGTGATATTAAAAAAAATCCAAATTTTCAAGAGATAAAAGATGTTCCTGTCCCAACATATAAATCTGGGGGCACAAACTCAGGCAGAGGAGTAAAGTTACAACAATGAAAAGTCATCAAAACCTAGTGACCTGCGGTTACATTTTCATCACGCAGTAATTTACTTCCAGAAGACAGAAGATCCGATTAAGGTGAAACAAATCTTTATTATGATAATTGTCCCGTTTGTTCTGATCCTAAAGAAAATACTCTACGAAAATTGACCCGATACACCGGTCAATTATTATGCAAGAAAGTATGCATACTATAATTTGAACTATCGATTCAGACTCCGTGCCAAAATGCAGGCAGAAGTCCTCCCGGTGGCGATGGTAAGGTATCAGAGATGCGGGTTGAAATTAAGCAGAAAGGCTGTCAGGGAGTTAGTGAGCACTCTGCTCACGCCCACCCGGAGCGCAGGAGTACGCAGCCCCAGACCACCATCAGTTGGAGCGGATAGTCTAGTCTGGAGACAGAACGGTGTGCAACATTTAGAAACCCTTTCCGGGGTTCCAAACCTCCCTTTACAGCTCTAGGTCAAAATACTTCCGTTTCTCACAAAACTTGGAATGGAGAAGGGGGAAGACACTGTTAAAATACCTAAAGACGAAACCGATTTATCCAGAAAACGCCAGGCCAAGCAGTCAATCCTTACATTGAAAGCCTCAAGGACATTGTTAAAAATAACATTTATTAGCAACAGCGCTCCTTCTTAAGGCCGCAACAGATTGGATTAAGCCACACCCCTCCATAAATGGCACATTCCATACAATAGCCAGGACGACGACAGAGGGCGATTCCAACGGGCGCTGGGGAACGGCAAACTTGTTGACAGTCTCAGAATGAAGTCCAACGATTGCCCGACCCTAGCCCGTTTATAATTAAAGTTATTCGGGGGGTAAAAAGAAGATTACAAACACACCCGAGACGTATTCGGCCACGTGATAAGAGAGCCGGGTAGCGGTAAGGACAACTCGGGATTTGGGCCGTGCAAGTTGACCCGCACCTCCCTCAGCAGGGACGCTTCCCCGAGGAAGGGCATTTCTAGAAGGGGGCCGGGAGCGAACTCAGGACGGGAGAAGCGGCGTGTCACCCAGCTCAGAAACCTTCAGGAGGGGCAGAGGCCGCGGTCCGCGCCAGGGCCCAGGCCCGAACTCTTCCTCTGGCCGGAGGGGAAAAGAACGCGTCCCGCCCACGCCCGGCCCCGATCCGGGAGGCGGGGCCCTGCAGAGACCCCGGAGGATGGAGGCGGGGCCCGCGGTAGCGCGGCCCCTCCCGCCCGGCAGGGGACACCCCCGTCCACCAGAGAGCGGGCCGCCTCCCCCCCACCCCGACGCGGGCCGCGCGGGGCTGGCGCTCCACGGCGTCTCTGCCCGCACCCCCACCCCCGCCCCAAAGAGGCCGGGCCAAGCCCCCAAGCCCGCGGGGCCGGCCCCGAGGAGGTGGGGCCTGCGCAGGGGCGCCGACTTCACACCCCTCCCCCTCCGGCCCGGCCCAGTGCGGCGAGTGGGGGAGGCGGCAACGCGGCCCCGGGCCCTGCAGCGGCGCGGGGCGGGGAGGAGCCCGCGCTCCGGCGCGCGGTCGCCGCCCCCGCGCAGCCCCGCGCGCCAGCCAGGCCCCCCGCGCTCAGGGGCGCGCGCGGGGCCCGAAAGGGAGGAGGCCGCGCGCGCGGAGAGGGCCGGCGCTGCGCCTCGGCACCCCTCCCCCCCCACCCCGCTCCCTCACCAGTCACCCAGCCCCCTCCAGCCCGTTCCAGGCCTCGGACTCCGCACTGACCTGACAGGCCGAGACATGTTCGCTGTCGAAACAGGACCGAGTCGAGGAGCCAAAGACCAGGACCCCCCCCACCCCGCGCGCTCGGCGCCCCACCCCCCCCAACTTCGGCCGAGGAGGCCGCTGCCGCCGAGCCCCGAGCTGCTGGCTTCTCAGACTCCGCCGCTCCCTGGTTCAGGGCCCCTTAATCAGACGAGCCCCCCGCTCCCCAGTCTCTTCAAAATGGATGAATCAAACCAGCCGAAAATGCGCCAAAGCCGCCGGACTACCGAACCCACTAGGGCCTGGGGACTCCGCCCCAGCACGACCGGTCATTGGCAGCTCCTGCCAGATGCGCGGAGCTCATTGGTCCGTTTGAATCATCACGTCCTTCCAGGCTCCGCCCCACCCGCGGAGAGGCCCCACCTCCTCCGTGAGGTCCTGTTTGTCAAGATTCTCTGAGAGCGCACGGCCGCAAAACAAAAATGGTCGCTGCTCGTCCCGCCCCCTGGTTGCCACTCCGGAGTTGCAGATTCGTCTTGGGTCGCGCCTTAGGACGACTGAGAAAAAAGATTTATGAAGGGCTCAGTGTTATTTAATGTTAGCTTAATGATATATCATTTCGCCTGTCTTGGTCATCTAAAAACTCCACTGACAGCAATACCTGTGGGCTAGGCAGCTGATTCGTCAGCAAGGGGCTGCTTCTGAATTGGAGGGAAACTTAACAGCTTCAAAAATTTTGACCTTAAACCCAGAAGCCCCTTCTCCTTGCTTCACCGTTGGACCTCAGGAGCCCAGCAACTGCTGGAGCAGGGAGGCAGGCTCTCAGTAAAGGAATAACTTCACCACCAAGTTCCATTCTCCATTTAGGACCTTGAGATCACTTCAGTGTCATTAACGTCCCAGTCGTGGACCTTAGGGGCCTAAAAATTAGGAGCAAGAGCGCTGGGCCAGAAGGTTTTTCTGTTTGAACCTCAGGCCCACCACTTAATAGGTGTATAGCTTTACCGCTCTGTGCCTCAGTTTTCTCATGTGTAAAATGGGCAACAGTAATGCTGAATTCATAGAATTCTTAGGGTTAAATGAGTTGATATGTTAAAAGACTTTAGGACAGTTTCTGGAACAGTAAGCGGAATGTAAGTATTTGTTATTAGTAAATTCATATTCCTAATTCCTTGATGGGGGAGGGGCTGGTTCAAGACTCAAGTCAAATAACTGAGGGTAACTCAGATCGTTGCATTTATATCTATGAACATTTGTTGGACGCACAGAACCCTCAGAAGTAGAGCTCAGGATCCCTATGGCAAAGGCCAAGGTTTACCTGACCATTATAAAACAGACTTCAATCCCTGTCACAGGGAGCCTGTTAATAACCAACTGAAGCCACAGTTCACAAACAAACAAACCAAACCTTTACTGTTGCCTCCTGAATGTCTCCCCTTGTAAAATCTGGCTTCCCCAAGGGAAAAGAATAGCACAGTCCACCAGTAAAGCGTTAAACAAGTTATATTTTCTCTTCCATGTCACGCCACCCTTCCCCCCCAATGTTGTTGGTAGTTAAAAAAAAAAAGCATACCATTAAGTACATTCACATCTCCAGAATATTTTCAACTAAACATTATACTTAAACACTAATCCCCCAGTCCCTCTCTCCCCAGCCCTGGTACCTACCATTCTTCTTCCTGTCTTCAGGAATTTGACTACTACAAGGAACCTCACGTTAAGTGGAATCATATAGTATTTATCCTTTTGTGATTGGTTTATTTCACTTAGCATAATGTCCCTCCAGGCGCAATCATGTTTAAACATGTATAAAAATTTTGTACCTTTTAAAGGCTGAATACTATGTCATTGTATGTATATACCACATTTTGTTTATCCATTCCTCTGTCAGTGGACACTTGGGTCACTTCCAGATTTTGGCTATGGTGAATAATTGCTGCTATAAATGTGATATATAAATAGCTCTTTCAGCACCTGCTTTCAATTTTGGGGAGTATGTACCCAGAAGTGGAAATCCTAGCTCATACAGTAATTCTATTTTTAATTTTTTTGAGGAATCTCCATACTATTTTCCATAGCAGGTGCACTATTTAACATTCCCACCAACAGTGCACAAGGGGTCCAGTTTCTCCATATCTTGCCAACACTTGTTTTGGTTTTATAATTTATTCACTTTTGGCTGTGCTGGGTCTTCATTGCTGCACAGGCTTTTCTCTAGTTGCAGAGCAAGTGCTTCTCGTGATGGCTTCTCTTGTTGCAGAGCACAGGTTCTAGGGTGTGTGGGCTTCAGTGGTTGCAGCACATGGGTTCGTTAGCCGTGGTTCCCTGGCTCTACAGCACAGGCTCAATAGTTGTGGCACACAGGCTAGTTACTTCGCAGCATGTGGGCTTTTTCTGGATCAGGAATCAAATTCATGTCTCCTGCATTGGCAGGTGGATTATTTACCCCTGAGACACCAGGGAAACCCTTGTTTTGGTGTTTTTTGATAGTAGTCATCTTTTTTTTTTTTTTCTTTTCTGGTGGTAGTCTTAGCGGATGTCCAAATATGTTTTGACTAAGTATTGTCATCCATTATTGTCACAATGCCAGTGGAGAGGCTGGCGTGGTGCAGTCACAGGTGACTTTCTTGGAAGCTCTTTTATTAGGTCAGATTGCTGTTATTTAGCAAATACCATTATTTGTTATTGTGAGATGAGGCAGAGGAGTTCTTGTTATTCATTTATTAGGCAATGAAAGGAAATGACCAGTCTACATATCCCGGCAGATGGAAAGTTCGGAACAGGTCTTCTGGGCCTTGGCACTGTAGTTTACTTCCAGGCCTATGTACAGATGGCCACTGAATGAAGGCTATTCCTCTTCCAAAGTGAGGGCCATATCCTCTCTCTCTCCTTATCTCAGCTTCAGCTAATAGCTTCTGTTTGCTTGTTTATTCACTATTTCTTTTTTTCTCTTTTTAAAAACACTGGATACCCTTTTCATTTGTTCCAGGTACTGTTCTTTTTGTTTTTTTAGCCGCACTGTGTGGCACATGGGATCTTAGTTACCCAGCCAGGGATCAAACCTGTTCCCTCTGCAGTGGAAGTGGGGAGTCTTCACCACTGGATCAGCAGGGAAGTCCCTTCACTCAGTATTTTAACAAACACTGTCTCTCAGGAAGGAAGGAAGACTTGAGCTTCTAGTTTACTTTTTAGTGAGCAAGTACAGAGTTATGCCTACAAGACCCCTAGAACTGTCTCCCTAGCCATGAGGAGAATCTGAAATGCAACCTGCAAGGTCAGATCCCTGCAGTGCATCCCCACACAATCTCCCCTGGACACCTGTCTCAAGCACAGCCATTCTGCAGGAAACTGAAGAAAGACACTGATCATCTGACATGTTAGATCTTAGATGCACTGTCAGTTAACCTTGAAGAGACAATATATGAAATTGTGAAAATGAAACAGGCTCAGGAGACAGAAAAGACGGTTATTCTTTCTCCCAGGAAATGAAATTTAATGGCTTTTGGAACCCAATGCTTAATTTCCCCTATGATTTTGTTACATGTTGAGAATTAGCCTTTTCCTTCTCCCCTGCATATGTTAAAGACAATAAGAAGTGACAGTGTGGGGGCAGTGAGTCTGATATTTCTTTCCTACCCCTAACAAAGACCCGTTTCCTTCAAGGCTATGCCATAGTTTCTGGGAGCTTTGTAAAAATTTTTGAGCACTTACTCCATGCTGGGCACTTCCACTTCTGTGGCCGTGTGAAAATCAGCCAGCCAGGTTTAAAGACAGACACTGCTTCAACATAGTTTTGTAAGTTTTAGCCACAGTAATCAGAGAAGAAAAAGAAATAAAAGGAATCCATATTGGAAAAGAAGAAGTAAAACTCTCACTGTTTGCAGATGACATGATCCTCTACATAGAAAACCCTAAAGACTCTACCAGAAAATTACTAGAGCTAATCAATGAATATAGTAAAGTGGCAGGATATAAAATTAACCCACAGAAATCCCTGCATTCCTATACACTAATAATGAGAAAACAGAAAGAGAACTTAAGGAAACAATTCCATTCACCATTGCAATGAAAAGAATAAAATACTTAGGAATAACTCTACCTAAAGAAACAAAAGACCTATATATAGAAAACTATAAAACATTGATGAAAGAAATCAAAGATGACACAAATAGATGGAGAAATATACCATGTTCATGAATCAGAAGAAGCAAGATAATGAAAATGAGTATACTACCCAAAGCAATCTATAGATTCAATGCAATCCCTATCCAGCTACCAACGGTATTTTTCAAAGCATTAAAACAAATAATTTCACAATTTGTATGGAAATACAAAAAACCTCGAATAACCAAAGCAATCTTGAGAAAGAAGAATGGACCTGAAGGAATCGACCTGCCTGACTTCAGGCTATACTACAAAGCAACAGTCATCAGGACAGTATGGTACTGGCACAAAGACAGAAACATAGATCAATGGAACAAAATAGGAAGCCCAGAGATAAATCCACACACCTATGGACACCTTATCTTCGACAAAGGAGGCAAGGATATACAGTGGAAAAAAAGACAACCTCTTTAACAGGTGGTGCTGGGAAAACTGGTCAACCACTTGTAAAAGAATGAAACTAGAACACTTTCTAACACCACACACAAAAATAAACTCAAAATGGATTAAAGATCTAAATGTTTTAAGACCAGAAACTTTATTATAAAACTTCTAGAGGAAAACATAGGCAAAACACTCTCTGATGTAAATCATGGCATGATCCTCTATGACCCACCTCCCAGAGTTACGGAAATAAAAGCAAAAATAAACTAATGGGACCTAATTAAACTTAAAAGCTTTTGCACAAAGGAAACTATGAAAAGTGAAAGTGAAGTCGCTCAGTTGTGTCCGACCCTTTGTGACGCCATGGACTGTAGCCCACCAGGTTCCCCCGTCCATGGGATTCTCCAGGCAAGAATACTGGAGTGGGTTGCCATTTCCTTCTCCAGGGGATCTTCCTGACCCAGGGATCAAACCCAGGTCTCCTGCATTG